ATATTCAAGACCCTCCTGGACAAGGTCCTGTGCAGCCTGCTGTAGGTGACCCTGCTTCGGCAGGGGGGTTGGACTAGATGACCCATAGAGGTCCCTTCCGACCCCTACTATTCTGTGATTCTGTGATTCTGTGTGGAGATGGAGACATGGTTGCTTCTTGGTTAATCCCCTCCTGTCGTTTCTGACGCCACCCAAACTTCACCGAAGAGCAATTTCTAAACGCCGCAGCCTGCCCGACGCCTCTCGCAAGGAGATTTTCTCTTTTCACCAAGCACTAACGCTTGGAGGACCTGCAGCACAGACGTCTGTAGCACCAGTATTGACACCTGCAGAACACAGATGATGGGGAACCTGCTGGCCCCGCTACCTCAACTGCACATGGTCTGAAACACCGCTGCCCAGCAACCGGAGCCGCGTTGATCCGTCAATAAAATGAAGCAATGGATTGATCGAAATAGCATATTTATCTCAACGCACAGGAAAACATATCGATAGCCCCATCTTCTGTAGCCCAAGGGGAGGCAGAGCAGCTTATTGTCTTCTCCATCTGTAAACTCCGTCTATCGCACCAGTCTGCCGGTAACATCACCACTCACGGCTCACTGTTCCACTCCTACGCAATAAATCAAAATGCCTGGCTCCTCACAAACAAAAACAGCCTCTGCAAATCACCCAGATCTGGATTTCTTTATAATGAGGTCTTGGGGCAGGTAAGGCAACATTATGCAAGGGTCAGAACTACTGGCCTCTCCCACAAACACATTATATGTAGTCTTCTTTCTACAATTTAAGTGGAAAATAAAAATTAATAAAATCTTAACTGGGATAAAGTTTGCACTTGATTAGGGTAGATAGCGAAAAAGGCACCAAAAAAGCACAAACCTTGTAAGAAAAGCAAAACTTTCTAAGGGCCATGATTCAAGGCAAGCATGCCCAGAGACTTCATAAAGTGCCTGAATGGTCCGCACAGAGCGGGTTCCCGGCGTCCCGAGGCTCCTGCCGAGCTGCTCTCGCTCTACAGCCAGGGAGCCCCAGCATGCGCACATTAAACACAAAAAAACCCAACCCCAGAGGCCCAAAGCCTGACTACTTCTATACACTCATGTGCTCCAAACACAAAGCTTGTGGTTAGGAAACACAGCAGGCAGAGGTCCTGCCTCGTGTATCTCAAAACTATGAAAAGCCCTAAGAAAACGCAACCCAAATCTAACAGAGCAACAGCATTTCTTCATAGACTCATAGTGTCTGAAACACTATACCTGTACAGATACACGTCTATAAACTCTAATACTGATACTTGCGATGAAAAACATTAGATCAGTTCTCTAAAGGTTAGTGGGATTAAAAGAAAGACAAGAATACTAATGGGAAGGCTCAAATTTTTAATCTACATCGGATCGGTAAGGCTAAAGCTATCTGGTGAAAGAATGTACATGAACGCTTTATTCTGGCACTTCTGATCTCAACACCAGTGGATGAAAGAGCAAAAAGATTGCTTTTGAGCAAAGAGACACTGTGGAAATGTAGAGGCAGCAATGAAGCTTTGACTTAGCAGAAAATATTTTCTATTGAAAAATCATTCCATAAAAAAAAAAAAAAGAATAAATCTGATTTAAGAAGACTATTTTCTGCCAAGGAAACCAAGAGTGAAAGGCTTCGTTCCAGGTTGGACTGCCCCTGCTACAAATGAAAAAAATACTCTGAGCATTTTCTTAAAGACAAAAAACATCACCAGGCTTCCAGCTCTGCAGCGTCTCCTCCCCACGCTCTCAGGTGACACCCGCGAACGCAAGGCGCGTGCCGCGGCGCGTTCCTCTGTGTGCACCCTGGCAGGTCTTACCACAGGCGTCCACAGCACCAGACCCAGCACAACCCTCATCATCACCAAGAAAATGAGATTTTTGTTGAAATGCGGGGGGAAAAAATACCTGTTTGAGGACTGTCAAATGTTTCAACACCAAGACAGATGCTCCCATGCTAGAGCTTCCTCTGCTCGGGGTAGAAGCAGCGCCCAGGCTCCATTCACCGCACCACGCAGCTGGAGCTCCTGCACCGTGAACACTAATTCCGAAGCTAGGCAAGTCTCCCACCTGCTGCTGAGCAACTGCCCGCAGCTTGAACCCCAAGAAGCTCTGGAGGACGTTTATTCAACGAGCCATCGGCGACGTTAAGGGAAGCAGCCTTCGTGTCCACGCTGGTTGTGCCGGGCCTTGGTTGAGGCGAGGATGGACATCCTTATCACGGGACGAAGGTCCCCCTACAGAGTTCCTGGGTCTGCGTGCAGACGATCTGCCCAAAGCATGATACCCCAAAATGAGCTGCAGAGTCTTATGGCCTTCAGTAAGGAGCCCAGTAGCGACCTTTACATTACTGGTTCTACCCCAGTGCCTACGTACTGTTGGGCTTCACATCACACTGGGGTTTGCTGGAGAGCCAGCACGCTGTCAGCCCCTGCCAACACCGGAGCCTGTGCGGTACGGGGCCAAGCACGCAACGAGAGGAGACATCAACTCGCTAACCACGCACGTCACAGCCGCCCTCCAGCAAGCAGGAGGCAAACACGGATCTCAAGGGCTCTAAGCTGAAAGCCACCACCTCAACTCAGCAAAATCACTGAATTTTTGACCTCAATGGGGATGGTTCCCTCTGTCCCCTCACCACCCAGCCACGTCGGAGCGGGCTCTGCCCGGCCTCTCCCACCGGCCGCTCCTGGACCAGTTCTGGGGAACTTTGCTTCTTGAAGGGATACCACCACACTTCCACCCGCACCTCCAGCTCCCTCCCTCCCAGGAGGCTGGATGACAGGCTTGTTCTCCAAGGCTTCCTAGGAAAACCTGCTTTGAACAAACCAGTAAGAACACACCCTTTGCAAGAAACCACTGTCAGCGACGCCATTAAGATATACAAGGTGGGCTCCAGCTTTCACCTAGTGGGTGCCACCACGGGGTCCTGCCGGTGGTCCCTCACCGCATGTCCAGCGGGCACCGACCGCAGAGGGATGCGCAGAACGTGCCGATGTCAGACAGGCACACCCAGCTCAGGACCAAACCAGCCCCGACTTCATCTGCACGGCAGAGAGCACAAAGCAGGGGACAAAAATATTAGTCCATTCTCCACAAAAATGCCTAGACGCTGCCTTCCTCGCAAGAACCGCGGTATCCAGCAGACATAAAACAAGCTGTCATTCCAAGGTGGGAAAATAAGATGTCACTGTTCACTTCAGATACACAAAACGTACGTAAATTTGTGTTTCGCAATATGCACGCTGCCTTTTCTTACAGAAAATAACACTTTCTCGTAGCTGGAGCTCGCAGCTGTTAAATATGTGCACTACCATCCACCAGCCTCCAGTGCTCCATTCCTTTATCTTGGTAACTTTGCTGATACACTGGGAAAACAATTATATCATCACCGGTACCTGCAGAAGGCAGGCCTGCCGTGAGACACGCTTTCCAAACAAATGCAGCCGCACAGCCTACAAAAAGCTTATTAATTTCTCAGTTTAAACCACTTAACTAAGCAATTTGCCCTCAGTTATTTTTATTACTCTTCATTTTAAGTGTAAAGATTATATAGGAAGCACCTCCAGCACCACCTGGACGCTTCCTGGGAGCAGCTTCTGGTTACGGCCGTGGGGCACCGGCACTGCCACCCCCCAGCATCGTCACCGCCACGCACGCTCCTCCGCGCCCGCTCGGGAGCCCGCACGCGGCCGGGGGTGGTGCTGGGCAAG